TATAATTTTCATTAATTTACTAGATAAACAATTAAATGTTTAAAAAAAATCAAAATCTTTGAGATCTATTCATTAATACTATGCTTGTTTACATTCAGACATGCCTACATTCAGACACTTATACACACATTTGTATGTGTATCTATTTCTCTTTCAACAGGCAGTGAGAGGAGCAATAATAATTAGCTTTTATCCTTTTGGGTCAAGCAGAGCAATAATATCTACTTCATATTCACCTCTAGAGACAAAAAGGCAATTTTGGATTTCAGCTCTTTTTCGTAGATTCTATTAAAATTAAACTGCAATGAAATACAGTTCAAACCCTTTTTTTTTATATTCTAAATTTCCAATTGAGGGTTTTTTTTTCATTTTTAGCCCTAAATATTTTGTTTCATCATAGTAAGTCCCTGTGGGCAGCTGCTAAATTCCTAAATCGGCAGCAAATGCATTTCAGGAAAATGTTTTCATATAGCACAAGTCTATTTTTATCTTAATAAATTATAAAATGTCTCTTCCATCCTTTATGTTTTTTTCTAAATTCACTCTTCACTTTGGTGTAGGAACTTACAGCTGTAGCCTCAGTTGAGGTATGGTTGGGGGGCGGGGTGTTAACTGATACAGCTTGGAGAGAACCACACAGGGTGTTTAGACAGACCCTTTGGTCAACCAACTTTCTTGTGGCCTCCCCACCCAAATTCTGAGTCCTTACCCTACTTAACCCAAATAGCTTGTTCTCATTAACCATTCCACACAGCTGGAGTAAAATAATAAGGCAAAATCTACCAGCAGGCATATCTCGGGTTAATCTCCCAAACTTTCTTATAACCAGAGCTATCTAGTAATGGGTCTGTTTGCCTTACAACGTAATAACTTTCTTTACCTATGTCTACTGAGCCCTGGAATATTAGCCGGATAACCAATCAAGATACTACAGAAGAGATGGGTGGTTTCTATGGAGAAAAGTGGGCAGAGGTCCTGCGCTGACTCTCCCCTCTTACCCAGTCCTAAAATAATGCTGCCATCAGGAGTGAGGCTGTAGGCTAAGGTGCCCTCATTTCCAATGACAAGCCCACTTAACAACTATCAGTTTACTGGTGCCTTTCAGATACCTGCCTTGTTCATCTTCACAGGAATGTGGTGCTATTACTCCCAGACAAACAAATGGGTGTTCAGAGCAGCAGTGCACTTGTCCAAGGTCGCACAACCAAAACTGGAAGAGCTGGGACCAGGGCACAGGCCCTTTCAGTTGCTGTAGGTCACTTGCTCCCAAAGGACAACGGCACAGGCTCTATGGCAAAAAGATTCTGGGACCTTGTGCAAAAAAATTGCTCTGGGTGATTTTTAAAATGCATATCCCTGGATCCCAGCCAAGAGCAATGAATTAAGATTCCCTGATGGTGGGACTAAGAATCTGTATTTTAATAAACTCCCTGGATAATTCTCACCCACAGTAGAAGCAGAGAACTGCCCTTCCTAGTCTCTTCTTCTATCTCCGAACTTGAGAGAGGCTTAGTTAGCTTTTCATTAGAAATATTCCTGGGATTTTTAATTCACCATTTAAATGTCTTATGAAGAAACCACTGTACTGACATTCCTGGTCTAACTTTTTTTTTTTTATTTTAGAAATATTTATACAGAATTTACCACATGCTAGATAGACCCTGTTAATTGAGTCGATTCTCCCCACCACCTTGCGTGGCCGATCATTTAACACCCACGTTACAGATGAGGAAACCAGTGTATGGAGAGACTTGCCTCAAATCACACATAGGCAGTGATCTTGGCTGGCTCCAGCCCATGTGACAACCAACACACAATGTCAGGCCTGCGGCTTCGAGCAAGGACTTAGAACTGGCAGAGGGGTGGAGAGGCATGGCTCACAGGCACCTTTGATGCCTATGACTCCAGCTCTATGAATCTGCTTAGAGCTCCCCCAAGATGTCCTCTTGTCCAAACCTCTGAGTCTTCGCATTTTCTCTTCCCTCCTTGAATATGCCCTGCAGGCCACCCTTTTTTCATATAGCTAATCTGTCCTCATCTGAGAAAACCTGGAAGCCCAGGATGTGCAGCAGTGCTGCCTCTTCGCTCCCAGGGCCTCAGCGCATTGGCCTCACATGGAGGCTTTAGTCACATGGAGTGATACCCATGGAGGGATTCCCATCTTCCACAGGAGATGTTAATCCCTAAGGGCAGGCATCAGCCTTATTTATTTCCTGCCCCAGGTGTCTAGAGGTGAGCAGGAATTCCAAGAATGCTTGTGGCATAAACAAATGGTGGCAAGTAAATTAAAGGTTGGTTACCTGCTTTATGATTGAATTTACCAAAGCTTTCTAACCCCCTGTGTTCATTTACATACTATTCATTTCTGGACAGAAAGCCTGAGGACAGAAAGCTGAAGCTGCTGCCATTTGCAGACCAATCCAAATTTCAGATAAGATAGCTCTGATGTTTTCATTTAAGTCAGTGGGAAATCTTCTATGGATCTATGAAAATGTGAATTAAACACAGGTTTTTAGGGAAACTCCTGTTGCATAAAGAGGGGGGCATACACATTAGAGCATGTTGGCTTTAGGGCTATAAATGCATAAGCATATGGGGGAAGTGAAGCTTGGCTTGTGAATTCAGTCCTTTCCCCTCCAGCTGGCAGAAGAAAGAAGAAAATTTGAGAGCTCTGCTCTCTTAGCTACTGAAGGATCAAGTTTCCCTGCTCTGCAATGACCGTTGAAGACATCTGGGAAAATAAAATTCTTTCACACAAGAACAGAGGGGGCTTTGGGGGAGTTGCACTACTTTGGGTCTTTGGCTCCTGCTTCTAGAAAAATCCAGTTGGTGTTTTATCTAACTTGTGTCACAGTAACTTAGTAAATCAGATAGTTGCAAAATGTTCTACAGTCTTAGAATAAGAATTTCTTATATGCCTAGAAAGTCACCAAGTTGTAATTAGATTCCTCAAATAAGCAAAACAACCCCAAACAGAATATTAGCTTCCCATCATGTTAAACTACTAAATTCTTGAGATTGGGTACGTGCTAAACAGACTCACTCATGTTTTTCTTCACTTAATAGAGATTTAGACTTTTCCCTCACATCAAAGAAAGTATATCAAAGCAATACAAAATGGAATTTGTGATTAGTAGAAACAGACCATATTAATTTTTCCCTCCAAACAATACCCAAAGATGAAAACAGGCTAAAGCTATTATGCTAATTCAGTGATGGAGAGTTCAGATTACCACACAAATAAACAATGTGTTTCTGATGAAAACAGATGACACTGCACCTCACAATTCTACTTTACGGTGGAAAATATGCTTATGAAGCTTTTGGCTCAGTGATGTAAGGAAAATGCCCTCAAGATTTCAGGTTCTTAGAATTTGCATGTGAAACACACAGTTTTGGGAAACCCTTATTTTGTGAAATAAAGGCTGACAGCTGAGGAAGAGTATTTTCTGCCATGGTCTCAGGTTTGATAGGCATGATTTGGGTTCTGCCCATGGTCACAAATGCACCATTATTTCCCTTAAGAATGGATCCTGTGGGTCAAGTTGGGGAGCAGAGATATATGATCAAAGAGAGAGCATCCCCCAACAAAACCAATCTATAGAATAGATTCTTCCTCAAGAGGAACTTATCAACTCTGTCAGTAACATTCTCTCTCCTTAAATGTCCCCCAGCCCCTTTCATTAAGTTCATTCTCAATAAATGTGTTGTGAGAACCAATCTAACCAAATATGATCATTTATCAATATTAGATTCCTTCTGGAAGGTGAGTCCTATAGGCAGTGCATGACTGAAGCCTCACTTCCCAAAGTCAAGATCCTGCCAAATCTGATTTTGTTTCCATAGTAAATGAACAACTATAGTCACCTAAAGAGAATATGGGTGAAGAACACATATTGGGCCTGAGTGCTGGTTCCCAATATGCAAATAACCATCTGATTCCTTTCAGTTAGGAATCTTTGAGGTAAAATTTCTCTAAAATGTATTGTCAGGGCAACGGAAATACATACATTAATTCATACTCAGACAAGCATAAAAGATTCAACTTAATTCAACAACTTCACTGAGCATATGGGTATTTCCCACAATCTCACCATCCACCCTATGTACCACTTGACCACCTGACCCATCACTGCATTCATTACATGCCAGTTTAGAAAAACCTACCTTCTACTAACAAGGAACATAATCTCTAGCCTAAGAAGAAAACTCTAACCTATCTCTATAGGCTGATTGACTACCACATTGGCCACTTTTTCTATCCTGTCTCTGTGGTTCAGCTAAGCTGTTCCCAATACCTGAAATGCCTTTCCATTATTCCCCATGACCCCCTTCTAACTAGCTCTGTGATTGGGATAAGCTCACCTCAGTGTCCCATAGCACCCAGCACAAAGCCTACACTAAGCACTTGACTGGCAGCAAGACAAACTGGAGCTGGGAAAGCAGAGACCAAGAGACACTGGACCACACCACAGACCCCAGGAGCAGGCCTTAGAGAGAAAGTTAGCCAAGAGCAGGCGGATCCAAACACAGAAGTCCAAGGAAATCATGCTTGTGTTCTTCCCTGACATGTGCCACAACCACCCTCCTCACAGCCTCATGCACAAGGCCATTGTCTCCTCCTGTTCTCCATGTGCTTGATTTAGACCAAGGAAATGGATTAAGACTTCCAGTGGGGTCATTGACTCTCCTAGACCACCAATAAGATGCCTTGTATCTCCTCTGTCAGTGCCTACTGATGTGTCTGCCTCCCCACTCAGGCTCTGAGCTTCCTGGATGAGCCTGGGCCTCATTCATCTCAGTGCTCCCAGAACCCAGGAGAGCACCTACTCCATAGCAAATGCTCTTTCAAATATTCATCCAATAACTGAATAAATAGATGGACTCTAGTTTTGAAACATGACAGTGCCTGATGACTAACTGCTCTACTGGCTCAGAGACATAGTTCACTACAGTGACCCTGCAGTGAAGCCCTTTCTCTTCCTAATTCTTCCCTGTAGGTCAGAATCAAGTCCTAGAGACCCATCTGCAGCAGCCTTTGCTGGAACGTACTTCACTGTTGTTCCTGGTTGGTTCTCATAAGTCCTTAAGTATAATACTTACCTTGTACCTTGATTTTGTGGTTCCATAATTATCTTAGAATTAATAATTTCCTTAAAGTAAAAGGTAAGATTTTTTTAATTTCATAACTATATCTTATTTAAATTCTTAAAAATTTTCTAATGTCACAGTTATGTTTGTTCTCCCAAAATTCACAAATATGGTATGAAGGCTAGACCTTAATGAGGGGGGCTGGTGCCCTATAAAAGAGACCCAAGAAAGCTCCATTGTCACTTCTGTCATGTGAGGTTACAGTGAAAAGACACCAGGAAATGGGCTCCCATTAGACATGGAATCTGTCAGTGCCTGCTCTTGAACCATTAGAAAGAAATGTCTCTTGTTTACAAGTCAGCCACTTATGGTATTTTTTGTTGCAAAAAGCCAAACAGACAAAGATAATTATGAATGAACGCTGACTTATCTCTGATTGTGTGCAAGAAACTGGGCTAGCAGGGTGTAGTCCAAAAATGCTAAGACATAATTTTTTCTTTTCACAGCACTTTTTACCTGGACAGAGCAACAGGATGCACTTCCATGAACAAATCACCAACAAATGAGCTACACACACATAGAGGACCAGGGGCTCACAGTGGTGGCCATCAGGCAGGCAAACAGGACGGTGTTTGAGGCATAATGGAAGCACAGAGGGTTGAGGAAGGTCATGCCCAAAATGCTTTGTAGCAACCCTGGCAGGGATGGGAAGGGTGAGGATCAGGCTTAACACCAAAGCTGGGATGAGGCAAGCTTTTTCACAAATGCATGATCACAGCAGCTGGGTCACCCTGAGCACCAACAGTGACCTGTTTGGCCATCATTCCTGAAAAGAGATCCTTTTGTGAACTCTCTCCATCTCTTTTGACATCAACATTAAAAAAATTACTAAACTAAAAAATTTACTAAACTGAGACAGTGAAAACTATTTAGCATGGCTTTTTTTTTATTTTTTTATTTTTTATTTGTTTATACAAGTACTGGGTATAGTCAGAAGCATGGGAGGGTGAGAGAACTCACCAGGGCCAGAGAGGAGAGCAGAGCAGGCAGATTGACGAAGTACACTGCTGAGGGGAGCAGTGGGCGGCAGGAGAAGTCTGCGCGCCATCAGCATGGCATTTTCATACTAGATTTAAAAAAAGAAGGGAAGGGAATAAAAGTGACCTGGCAAAAGTAGGGTTGTTAAAATCACCAGAGATGAACCCCAAGGGGCTAGCTGCTTCAGCAGCACCTCAGAGGATGAGCAATACAGAAGGAAAGTGGAAGGGCACGCCTGTCTGTGTAGGGTGGCAGAGCTTCAAACTGCTGCCAAGTTGATATCAAGCCATGGTTAGCGGCAAAAACCCAAGAGTCCCATTCTTTGGAGACTTAGTATTAAAGATCTTGTACAATAATTCTACATGACTAGCTTTTTCACCGACACATTATAAGATATTAACATAGCACCAGTGAATTAATCACTGTCAAGCTTTCCAATGCAGAAATCTACACCTTTTTTAATCTTTATTATCTACGAAGGGCTTTAGCATTATCTCTGTAAGCTCCACGGAAGATCACCTTCACTTTCAAAAAATTGTGATATCACTTCAGAGAGTTGAGGTGTAAAGACTGAGTCAACAAGTCACCACAGGAAGAAGGCACAGTCTCTTCCTTCCCCGAATATGTAGTCATACCAAGTAAGATGAAGGGAGGAAAAACCAGCACCTAGTAGTTACCATATTTAATTTCTACAACCCAGGTAGAACCTAAATGGAGGCAGATTTGAGAATCTTCATTTCAACAGATGAAGTCAGTGGGGCTAAAGAGTAATTTGCCCCAGGCCACAGGGCTCCAAGATGGTAGAGCTGGGACTCAGACACTGACTTGGGTCCAAAAACTTGGGTGTCCTTGTTCACAAGAGAACAGAATCAAACACCTCACTACACCCAGTAGATGACATGGGACAGTAGGCAAAGGAGGGACACAGTGAGTAAAAAGGTTGCCACATCCTTTGGCACTGCCACCAAGCTGGGGGCCTGAGATGGAAATGTGCCAACTGGGCAAGACCAGCAACACCTGAATGGGCTCCATTGAACAGGCCCTGAAGGAAAGTCACAGGCACTTGAAGCCAAATTAAGCAGAAAAGGGTGATTAATCATACAGCTATGATTACCCCTCTCACATGCTGTTTAAAAAAAATAGAATCTGACTTCAAGTATGTCACTGCAAAGAAGTAAAACTAAGTGTCTAGAGGATTTGGCTACCTGAATTACCCTGGGCTGGCGGATGTGGAGAGAAGCTTCCACTCAATTACTCTGTCACTCCCCTCACTGACCACTCCCCCCCCCCCAACAATAGTGCACTGATTAGTGCGGGAGATGTGCTCACAGAAGAGTCTTGTGCTTAGGGAGCCACCATACTAACAGACAGCACACTTTGTGATGTATAGTCAAATGAAAATTACAAATTAGTCATAACTGCCTGAGTCCAGAGAAAGGAGGACAAAGTCGCCCAGGATTCAAGGTCCTTCCTATCTCCCTCACTTGCTATGTCCCATTCAGACAAAAGTAGAAAGAAACAAGTGAGTAGGGTCACAATTTATGGGTCCATATGGAGGGTCAGCCTCCACATGCAAACAATATAGTTTCTTGGGAGGGAAGAAAGGAAAGGCAGGAGAGAGGGAGGAACCCCTTATGCAGAAATTTGGTAATACATGTATATTTGGCCAGAAACAATTTTCCTTGACATAGGGATTCTGAGAACATACCACTATTTTCCATACAAAATCCAGACGAACCTGCTCTGCCTCATTCTCTTATTTGTAGTTATATGAAAAAGGAACCAAAATTTGACTTTTGTCCAGGGCCTCTGCATAAGGTATACTGACCTCTTATGTCTGGAAACAGACTTTTTTGTATCATGAGAACAATTAAATTCTACATGCAAGACAGAAATCTATAAACACCAATATGACCAAAAAGGAATAATCAAACTCTTTAACATCAAAAGGAGGTGCTCAGATTTAGAACAATGAGCTCTCCACCACAGGAACACAGTGTTAGAACCAACTGTGGAGGATACTATAGGCTTGTGGATATGCAGTCAGGGTTACCCAGTGACTGACACCTATGGTGATGCAACTGGTCCAGGGCTGGGAATGTAGAGGCTGGGCCCCGGCCCTCCTTCCCATGAGAATAGTGACTAGTCTCACCCCAGGAGGAAGGTCTCCCTATACCTTATACACCCTGCACACAGGCCAAGCCCTTTAGTCACTTTTCAGGAGGAACTACAACAGAGAACAAGAAAGGTGTGTACAGATTCTTGAGGGGGGCTAAGTATTTCTATGATCACTGTGATGTAATGCTCTTGCCTGCACCAAAGATACTTTGCCCCAGAAGGTCACTGCTTGCAGAAAACATGAATTGACATTTGAATGTAAAGCCTGAAGATATAAATGTTCCTATACCTTTGCACTGTAATAAAATGTTTATTTGTGATACCACCTCCTGTGCTGGATTAGGAGCACTCTGAGTCTAGACTATGTCCTCAAAGCCTGGCCTGATGTTCACGGATGGTGCAGAACACTATGTGCTCATCCAACAGAAAACCAGTGAATGCTGCAAGACAGAAGAGCTGCCTCAAGTGACAATTTGAAGTTTAAAGTCAATGTGGCATGTAAGTATTTGGAGACTACCAGATGGGAAGGGGGTGGTGGGAAAGTGCAGAGGGCACCCAGCGGACCATGGGGGAGGGCTATGGTGCCTGGGTGGTGACATACATCTGAAGAAGTGTGAATCTGTACTTCTGAATCACATTCTATAAAACAATACTGTTACCTTAATAAAAATTACACAATTAAAATAAAAAGACACCATGGAAACTGACTTGTAGGGAATCATGAATAGAATTGATGCGTAAGCATCTGACAACATATTTGTAGTCAGAGAATTTGAGCAGGATTGTGGTTATCGAGGTGGGTCTGCCTATTGATAGTCAGACTTAGTATTAAGTCTGATGCTAATCGTCCATACCTCTCAGTCACATCCAATCCTGGGAGGATGTTCCATTGGAAAATAAGGAAATTGAAAAAAAATGAGCCTTGCTTTAACTAGATTCAGATAATTCAATATTTTCACTACAAAACCACAGAGATCTAGATTACTAGGGAATAGCAATTACTTTGAATTAAATACCACTCCGGGTAAGTCAGTATTGACTTAATGAGCTTTTTGTGTACTGGGTTTAATAAATAAAACTGTATTAGTTGTTTCATATAAATATGGTACACTTGATGAATTACTCATAATGAAGGAAAATAACCCTGAATCCATTTTAATAATTTCCTTATTTTGAAATATAGAAATTTCTTCTTAAGCACACAGATGCCTAGTTGATGATACAGGTCCAGAGGGATGAAGTGATATGCCAAAGTCACATAGCTAATGAGTGATGGAGCTAAGATTAGCATCCGGGTCTCACAGCTTGTCTGTACCTGTCTACACTTCCCTATACATCAGTGACTTTCGGACACTCTACAGAACTCCCCTCTCCTCTCTATGCATCAGGCACCTGGAAAAGATGAGTAGGAATGTTTGGAGGGTAGAGAATTTTTTTCGAACTGTCTTTTCAGGTGAGCCAAAGGGGGTTTAAAGCACAGGTATGCAGATTTTTGAATATTGTGCAATCAAAAAAAAAAAAAAAAGACCATATACAATTGCCAACTTATCATAAAATAAGGGCTATTTCAATATTAAAAAAAAAAAAAACCTGGAAGGACAGAATCCCAGAATAATAAAGATTCTGATTAAAAACAACAATTTCTCACATTTAAATATGGATCACGGAAACAAAACAAAACCTGGAAAGTTGCTGATCGTTAGACCTGAATTTGGGAGCCAATGGCTTTATGGAAAGAGCGCAGAATTTGGGTTTCAACCACACGGCACCAGCAGAGCATCCTCAGAAGAATCCTTTTGATATCTGTCTAGTCTTTATACATAATATTCAAGCATGATTCCTGACCCATATGCTGCAAAGGTTGTTTTTTTGCAAAAAAATTTGATTATTCTGGAAATGTGGCCTCAGGACTATCTGCATCAGAATCATCTCCAGCGTGGATTAAAAACACAAGTTCCATGGAGCCTCCCTGGTGGCACAAGGGGTTAAGATGCAACCAATGAAGCTGTCCGCATCCTCTGCAGCACGAGTTCTATCCCCGGTCAAGGAGCTACCCATATAGTGCAGCAGACCTCTCCTGACTTGCCCGCTGCTCCCCCCAGCAGTGTATTTCGTCAGTCTGCCTGTTCTGTTCCCTACTTTGTCTCTGGTGACTCCTCTCACCCCCTGCACCTCTGGCTTGTACCCCATTTCTTAAATGCATAAAATAAATAAATCTTTAAAAAAATAATAAAGACACAAGTTCCTTGGCTCCACACTGGATGAAGTTCTTGGAAATGGGGTCTAGTTCCAAGAGATGCAGGTTGGAAGTCAGGAGCCCTGGGATCTTTTCTTTTCTTTTTTTTAAAGATATATTTATTTATACAAGCACTGGGGTACAGATCGGAGGCATGGGAGGGCGAGAGAATTCACCAGAGACAGAGCGGGTTGCAGAACAGGCAGAAGGACCGAAATACACTGCTGAGGGGAGCAGCGGGCATGACAGGAGAGGTCTGCCACACCATATGGGAATCCCCCTGGCCAGCGGGGATCAAACTGGCACTGCAGAGGCTGCAGACAGCTTCACAATGCTGTGCTCAACCCACTGCACTACTGGGGAGGCCCAGGATCTTATTTCTTAAATGAAGGTTTATAATAATGGCTCTAATTATCACTGGGGTTGGTGGTGGCAGCTACAATTCTTTTGCTAATCTGCAGTAACTATAATAGTAGAAAAGAGGAGAACACGGAAAAGGAGGGCAAAAGCAAGAAGGATGGGAATAAGAGGGCATT